CCCAGGTGAAAAGTTGTTCAAATTTTTTTAAATAAATTGTAACAATCAATTTTTTCGGCTCGAAAAATCTTTTTTTTTTAAATTTTTTGGATCATTCTGCACATAATCTCTAAGAGTAAGTCTTTAAGATTATATTTTTCACTTCACAAAAAATAAAAACTAAAATTTAAATATTAAACTGCATCTACTAAAAATACAGGGTGGTGAATCGTCAAACGGGCCATAAGAAACTCCATGGGAAATTCTAAATTGCTGAATTCCTGCTTTTCTAATTAGTTTACACCAAAAGTCAAGAAAAACTATTTGTAGGTGACTGAAATATATATCGAAAAATGATATTAAAATTGTTCTACGAATTAAACGTATTTCAAAATTTTCAGGCCACCACTGAAAGTTAGGGCACACGCGGTGGAGAATGTGTATGACATGTTGCGTTTGGTCATATTGATTTTTCTGATATTTGACAATATTTGAATTTTTTTCAAAATTCAAAAGTCAAAAATTTTCATTTTGTGATTTATTGTTTAAAAAACAATAAAGTTGATTAAAAAATGTATTCAGTTAAGGAGAAAATAGCAATAATAACAATTATTTATTCAGAAAATAGTACGCGAATTGTCAGTTCTTTATTTAGCGTAAGATATCCCAATAGACCAATTCCAAGTCATTCAACAATTCAAAGGATTTTACAAAATTTTGAAAATACTAGGACCGTGATTTCTAATTGTACCTGTACAAACAATATTGCTGAGGTACCATGCAATTTAGAATATCAAAATGAAATAAATGTATTTACAGAAGTCGTAGGAAATCCTAAAATAAGTTCTAGGACCATTGCAGACCAATTTAATATTCATAATTCCACGACCTTAAAACTTTTGAAAAGGCATAAATTGAGTTTATATAAATTTCAATGTCATCTAGAACTAAGAGGAGATGCTGAGCGACGAGCGGAATTTTGTTATGAAATTTTCTTCTTCTTCTTCTAGTTCCTATCCGTTTCGGATGTTGGAAATCATATTGGCAATCATAACCTTGCTCGCTGCGGCTCGAAACAGCTCCGTTGAGGTTTTCTTAAACCATGTTCTTAAATTCCGCAGCCATGATATTCTCCTTCTACCGGGTCCTCGCTTACCTTTGACTTTACCTTGCAATATAGACTGTAGCATCGAGTAACGGTGCTGATTTCTCATAACATGTCCCAGATATTGCAATTTTATGCGTTTGATCGTAAACACAATCTCTGTTTCCTTCTTCATTTTTCCTAGAACTTCCTTGTTCGTGATCCTTGCTGTACATGATATTCTCAGCATTCTTCTATAAAGCCACATCTCAAATGCTTCAAGTTTTTTAATAGTGGCGTCTGTAAGCGTCCATGCCTCCGCCCCGTTTAACAACACAGAGAAAACATAGCATCTCAAATGTCTCCTTTTTGTATTAAGGGATATGTTGTGACTTTTGAAGATGGCGCTCATTTTGTTAAAGACCGTTCTTGCCTTTCCTATGCGGCACTTTATTTTCATATTCATATTCACCATATGATATTTTAGAGAGGGCTAAATGTTCAAAATTATCATATCGTCCAAAAAGAAATGTCTGGTTAGGAATATTTAGACACAATATTATGGACCATTTTTCTATGAGGGAAATTTAAATTCAAAAAGTTTTTAGACTTTGGTTGAAAGTTTGGCTTTAGAAAGTTGGTTTCAAATGGATGGATGCCTTACCCACAATAGCTGGAAGGTTATTTAAAAACAGCTTTAATTGGTTGATTTGACCTGACTGTAATATTAAGTCGTTCGAGATTGAGAAATCTAGCTTTGGATCTCTCCAGATCCAGAGAATAAACGATTATTTTATCTGGAGTCATCTAAAATCAAAAAACCATTCTGACCAAAAATTTACAGATATTAAAGCATTAAAAATGCGAATTATTGAAGAGTGTGTAAAAATAACGCCACGCGTTCTGGCTAATGTTAGACGAGAATTTTACAATCGAGTGGGAGTGCTTAGTACAAAATGGCTTATTGTTTGAACATTTGTTATAATTTTAAGTTTAGAATTTATCATAAATTACTTTTAGAAAGGATTACAGTAAAACTATATTGAAATTCTTTTAATTGTTGTAAATCCTGGAATCGAATTGGAGTGTATTTTAATCTCTTACGTTAAATAAAGATCTAGCAGTGATCGCACTATTGTCTGAATATCATCAACTTTATTGCTTTGTAAACAATATAATTTATTGTTTACAAAGTACCATTTATTGTTCACTATTAGTAGTAGGTAGTATTTGTGAAAATTTCCTGTATATAGTTTAATCATAAAATAAAAATATTGACAATTCAAATATTATCAAAAACAGCAATATAACCAAACGTAACATGTCATACACATTTTTATACCGCGTGTGGCCTGACTTTAAATGGTGGCCTAAAAAATGTATTATATTTTTGAAAAATATTGGAGTACGCTTAATTTGTAGAACAATTTTAACATTTGTACATTTGTATTACTGATTTTAGTCCCCTACAAACAGTTTCTTACGATTTTTCATGTAAAATAATTAGGGAAGCAGGAATTTAACAATTTAGAATTTCCCATTGAGTTTCCTATAGCCCGTTTGGCGCCCGTTTCACCACCCGGTGTATGTATATTTTGTATGTACCACTAGTATTACCAGCTGATAACGGCCATCGAGCAACATCCAACCCTCGGGCCAGAGACCCTCTAGCTAGATTATGTTGCTCATCAGGTCTTATCATCTTATTTCTTATCATCTTGTTTCTCTCTCTTATACACGCCGTAGCCCGAGCGCCCGTCTCGTCATAAGCATTTCATTAATGAATAAAAAATCATGCTTAAAAATAAAATATGCCAAAAATACTTATCGGGAAATATATAACAATGTTTCAACTAGAATATAGGTCCTTTGGGGATTCAAAAATAATGTTCTTTACCTTTATTTTTAAACTTTTTTGTTCAAAATGATACAAAAAAATTAAAAAAAAAATTTCGAGCTGAACAAATGGATTGTTATAATTTGTTAAAAAAAATTGAAAAAATTTGAACAACTTTTCTCCTGAGAGACTTGTTGAACCTTATTTGGAATATCTTATGAAAGTGCTTATGCAAAAAAATCTAATGGGAATATTTTTCCGAACGAATCCGGCTTTTCGCCTTTTCTAGATGTTTATGCCTAATCATAATTATTTAAAACTACTTAACTAGATAAAAGTTGTGTTTTTTATTAAGGATATTTTGCAAACGTTAAAGAGATCACCCCTAAATGTATTATATATCGCAATAATTTTATTTAAAAAGTAATTAAAAAAAATTTTAAGTAACTAAGTAACCTAAATTTCAGGAGTTATTTCAGATCTTCCTACAAATTAATTTTATAAAACAAGTTTAAAATTAAATTATTTAACATTCTTATGAAAAACTTATCTTAAGAAAATTAAAATCCGTTCAATAGTAATTTGGAAGACACTGATTTCGATGCTACAATTTTCTGCCATCGTCAGGTCTCCATGAGGTTATTTAAGAGATAACGCTTTAAGAGATATGGTCAATGGAAAACATACTACTGAGCACTTGAGTAGGGCGCAAAGAGTTATTAAACAAAACTTTTTCGCACATCGTTGGTTTTGGAAATTACTAAAAAAATATGATGATTATAGAAGAAAACGGTCTCATATTTTAATATAAATACAGGGTGGGGCATAGAAAACGAAAAAAAATATATTTTAGGCCACTAATTTCTATTAAAGCTCTTGTAAAACGCTTAAATTTACTTTTTTCAAGAGTGAACACTTGCATTGCAGCACCCTAGGGACGATGCAGTATCCAGAAAATCTTAAATAAGAAGGTCAAGTCGTACCTTATTTAAAGATTGTTTGATTCTATATTGACAAAAATTTGCATTGACAAAAAATGGCTTGAGTGTATATTACAAAAAGAAATAATTTTTGATTAATTTTAACTGCAAATTTAAAACATATTCGGTGATTGATATGACAAAACCTGGTTCATAGACCTGGTTCATAGGCTCATACCTTTGGAACTATGAGGACTTGTTGATAGCAACTGAGTCAACAAGTCCTCAAAAACACTTCGTCTCAGGTGAGTCTCAGAATTGACAAATTGTGCTTTGTTCTCTATTTATTTATATATTCGACACGTTTCAATTCATTAAAGCTGTAGCAAAGCTCTTGTTGAAATTTGTAAATATTTTACAAATTTCGTAAAGCTTCAAAAGACAGAAAACAATGGTAGTACAATATTTTTGTTTAGAGCTATCTTAATGGATGGTAGTTTTTGGGGCTAACACTAGAAGTGAGAAATAGCAGGACACATTTGCTGGCTTTCCGTGTAGTAGTTTCTATGTATTCGACTGTCTGAAGACGTAGGGAGACATAATTAACATTTTAACAATTTATTGATCCTAATTACACGAAAGGTTTGACGAATTGTGCTTCTTTCGCCGTTGATTTATATATTTGGTGTTTTAATTCATCAAAGCTGTAGCAAAACTCTTACTAAAACTCAAAACATACACTGACAAGCAGAGACAATATCACGTTAAAATGATTTTGCTATAATACGTCACATCACTTTTAAATTAAGATTGGCATTTTGATCTTTGGATGAATGGAGGAAGGTGGATATTTTAGAATTACTAGTTTTCTTATATCCTCACCTTCTCCGTACACATTTTTAATAATCGTTTTAAGAAAAAGTTTTTACCAATAAACGTTTTCTTGACCCAATGCTATTTATAGCCTATTTACCATTGAGTTTATTTGTTATACATTTATCTGTTAAGTAACCTTATCAGGGACCTGACGATAAGTAGAAAGTTGTAGTGTTCGAAATGTATCGCTTAAGTTATTAATAAAAAAAACTGTGAATAAATCTTTTCTTGTTCTTCCTACTAACCCTTTCAGTAGTTTACTTATATATGCAATCGATTTATCCCTTCTATATCTATTTTCCAGCAAGCTGCACAATTGATAGGTTTGACCATGTTGATACCGTTGTTAGCCAATGCAAATCTATAACCGTTGAAAGCTTTGCAGTACCTGCCGGCCAAACCTTAAAACTACATTTACAATATGGTACCACCCTAACTTTTAATGGAAACATTGCTTTTGGTTACAGTGAGTGGGATGGTCCTCTTATATGGATTAAAGGCGACGGAATCACGATACAAGGAACAGAAAGTACGTTACATATATTCTTAATATATTCTAATTATATTTTTATGAAAATTATAATATTCTTGACGCCATTTAAATGTACGGGCCAGGATTAGCCAAGTAAGTCCGTGAGTGGGATCAGCATATTTCCTAAATATGATTAATATTCTGTAACAACTTTATTTTTAAACGTTTTCTGATCTTGTTTTGATATTTAATTTTTGAAGCACCTTTTTCACTTCTATAATGAAATAGGACCGGTTTGCAATAGTGAATAATATAGATGACAAATATTTTCTAACGATATACTAATCTTAAAGAAAAAAAAACATCTTATTCCTTATTTAGTTATTTTGTACTTAATCAATCGCCAGAGCTACTTTAGGTTAACGTACCACTAGAGTTCACTAGACCATAGAAAGAAAAATATAAATCGACAATAATTAGTAACAAATATGAATTGCCGAGAATGCTATAATTGTAAACCCGTATCACCCACGATATTAACATAAATATTGCATGACATATAAAACATACTATTTATCTCAGTATCTCCAATGCAGGTTAATAAATTTGACTGTCAATTTTTTTATTTAATTTGGTATAAAGCTCGGCTAGTTCGGTAAGTAGTCAAGTTACGTTTACTTAATTGTGCTATTATATTGCGTTCTTTGATCAAACAACAATCCGACCAAAATATTTTCAGAAGTCGTACTGTAAATTATTGATTATATATACGAATATAGATTGGTCCTGGGAACATTGCTTATAAAAGTCGCATTATCTTAACTTTATCTTTTATTTTTTACGGTATCGACATTATTAACTGACTATATTCTGCCACATACGTGGCAGAAACACGACCTGACAAAAAGGATGTAAGAAACAGCAAAGATGAAAAAACTTGATGATAAAACACTATGGGACAGAGATAGAAGTATAGATATACGACGTAGATGCAAGGTGGAGAACATCAAATACTGGGTAAGAAATAGAAGAGTAGAATGAAACGATCATATAAGCCGAACGGCAACAAATAGAGTAGTAAAAATGGTAAAAGACGGTTCCCCAATAGGAAGAAGATTAGTAGGAATATTACGAAAACGATATAACGACAACTTACTAGAGGTACATTAAAAAGCAGAGAGAGTCATGTCTAAATAAAACGAAGATTATATTTTTTTTATAATAAATTTGTAACTAATTTTTAAGAGAGTTACTATCACTTCTTATAATCAGGTAATCTTTGTTACATTTAACTTTTTAAGTTTGTCTCTTTTTGCTCTGTTAGTTATTATTACTATTTTGTTATCTACTTGTATTTTGTTAGCTTTGTCTGTGTCTTACAAATATTTGTTTACTTGTTTAATTTTTTTTCCAATATTTTATAACTGTGGTCCTTCTTTGCTACTATTCTTCGGATTTAATCTTTCCTAATTTAGTATAATATATAAGTAGTTCGATTTCTTTGGATTTAATATTTAATTTATTGTTATCTGTTTCATCATCAATAAGACTAAAGAAAAGAACCCAATCCAAAAATGATTTAGTTAAAGTAAATATGAATAATAAAAATTTTATTTTAAGGTCATTTGCTAAATGGTCGTGGTGAGCTATGGTGGGATGGACATGGTGACCACAGCAATAAGAAGAAACCCCAATTCATGTTAATTCAAGCAACGGGAAATTCACTTTTTAAAGATATTAAGGTAAAGAATTGTCCTCACACATGTATTGGTATCTCGGATTCCCATGATATCACTCTCCAACACTGGACTATTGATTGCCAAGATGGAGATACAGTAAGTCAGATTAGTCATTATATTTTTAATTTAGTAAAGCCTTTCATTTTCCAAATCAAGGAACGAGAGCATGGCTTTCTAACTGGAATTGTTACTATTAATAACTTTGATTGATTTATTTTGTACGAACATAATTAATCGAAAGTTATTTATAAATTTCGTTGATATAGCAGTAGAGTATTTTTGTATCATATTGCCTTTCAAAGATTCAAAGACATTCAAGACGTTCAAAACTCTCTTAAATCTAAATATACTGCATTCAAGAATAATATTTAAAATAATACACCATACCCATTTCTTAATATCTTGGTCACTAATATGGAAATCGTGCGATGGATCATTTTAAAAGAATATAATACCAAAGAATTCCAGAGACTTTTATCTCGAATCAGTACTCAGTCCATCTACGTGTATTTAACTATGACCTTCGCCCTCTTACATTTTTTATCTTTCTTTCATATATTTGCTTTGTGACAAACAAAATAAGTAATATTCTTGGCAAAAAAGGCATCCAGGTTCATTTTTTGACCATTCAAGAAAATTACTGAATTTCTTCATACTCTCATAATACCGCCTCCCTCTTTCTATGGTCCTTTTGATATTATCCCTTTTCTTTGTGGGCATGTATGAACATAGATCTCCCTGATAATTTTCTATCTGTTTTGATCTTGTGCCTCTTACATTCAATTCCTATGGCAAGATTTTAGATCGTCAGTTCAACGTGTTGGTGGACGAACTCTGCTTATTTAGGTACATGTCTTGGTCTCCATTTCAGTATTTCCTTTGTTCATTTCTTATCTGTTATTCGAGCCACGTGAGCTGACCAGTTCCACTTTGGTGGTATTATTCTTTCTACATCATCAGCAACTCCTGATCTTCATCGTAGCTGACGGATTGGGATCTTGTCTCGCAGTAATACGCCCAACAAAGCACACTAAATCGCCCTTTGAGCCACATGGATCTTAAAAACGATTCTCCTTGTCATGGTCAATGTTTCCTAGCGTTAGTCAACATTGGCAGCACACACTGATTAAAGGTTTTTCTTTTACGAGATACTAGTATGGCGGACGATTTGAAAATGTGGTTTAACTTACCAAAGGTTGCCCAAATAAGTCTTATACGACGGAGAAACTCAACGGTTAACATTTTCTATGAGGATCTCGTAACCTAGGTCTTTATAGGCTATTACGTGGTCTAAGGATCTTGTTCCTACCCATATATCTTCGCTGACATTAAGATTTGTTATTATCTGGGTTTAAGATATATTTATTTTCAATCCTCCTTCTAGCGAAGGAACGTAATAAACCGGCGTTAGAATGGCGAAGAACAGTAATAACCCAACACGCGAAGGGATACATTTATGGGCGATGACTTGAACGACTATATAAGGACTGTTATAGAGCGGTTTTGACTCTGAAGAGATACAAATTTGTCCAAATGAGGTACGCTCAAGCAAACACATACTAGAAAAATCACCCATGCCAAAAACGAACACTCTATGATGTGTTTTCAATGGATCCACGGTTTTATTTATAAATATGTTGAGTATTTGAGTTAGTGTGCATTGATTCCCCTCTGTTTTTGTCTCTAGGTATGTTGAGTACTCAATTTATTGTAATCAACAACATTCTTCTACTTCTAAAGAAGATGATAACAAAAGCAGCAAAACGTGAGATATATCAACATACGGACCATCCAAATCCAAAAGACGTTTATAAGATTTTTGACGAAGTTCGTCCACAATTTTATCCCTTATGCTTTTGAGAATCCTTAAAGATGAAATCAAGGAGGAAAAAATATGTAAAAACTGTGTGGTCTCCTGCGGAACTTTTCGTAAAAATTCAATTTTTTTTGGCAAAAAAATTTCTTTTGTAAAAAAAATTTCTTCCTTATGCCATTTTATGAATTGATAGAGGAATATTGATTCTACGTTTCAAAAAATTAGCATAAGGGCTATTGGTGCCTTAAGGTTGTTAATTATGACCTAAATATGTAAATTAATAAAATTTGTTAGTTTATCCGATAAGGAACTTGCAAAAAAACGGAATAAAAGCAGGTAGTGAAAATAAAAAAATTTACCTCAAACAAGTTTCGGATAATTAGGAAAATTCGATTTTCACAAAAACGCACCCTGGTTCAACTCTAAATTTCGTTTTTTTTTGCTTATGTGGTATGACATTTTCACTAAACAATAAGGCATAAGGAATCAAATCGTGGTCGAACTTCGTATTGAAATCTGACGGCCTGTTAGGTAATTTTGATTCTGGTCGAGGAATCAATGGATGTTATTTATATTTATATAAATACAAATATTTTTTAGAAAGGAGGAGCTAACACCGATGGATTTGATATCGCAAAGTCCTACAAAGTAACAATAAAAGATACTACAGTACGAAACCAAGATGACTGTATTTGTGTGAATCAAGGTCAGCATTTAACAATTCAGAACATGCACTGCATTGGGGGCCATGGATTAAGTCTTGCGTCAGGATTGTGGGATACCTATGAGCTAAACACCATTTACAACGTAACATTTAAAGATTCCATAGTGGAAAATTCACGTAACGGTATTCATATTAAAACTATACCAGTAAATAATAAGAAAGGCGAAATCACCAGCATCACTTACGATAATATTAAGTTGATAGGTAAGTTTAAAAATTATTTGATAATACATTTTTATTATTTTGGTTGATTTATCTTATATTCTTTGCTGCTAAGAATAACTATTAGCTAACAATAAATCAAAATCTTAAAAAAAATTCAGACTTGTAACAAGGTAAGAGAAGGAGAGGAAATGTTCATAAGCTGAAATTTTCTAAGCGTCTTATATGATAAGAACCATTATAACCGAAGCTGTAGAGAGAGAAACGTACATTAATTAGTGAATTTTTAAAACCAGCACAGCGTTATGAAGGACAATGCTTGGAGTAACCTCCAAGCCGTGCAACTGAAAACTGTTGGTTAACATTTTTTATGTGGCACATTTAAGGTGCAAAACACGGTGATTTTCAATTATCTTTATTTTTACTGTAATAAATCAATATATATATATATATATATATATATATAATATAAATATATATATATATATATATATATATATATATATTATATATTTATATATATATATATATATATAATATATATATATAAATATATATATATATATATATATATATATATAGTATATATATATATATATATATATATATATTTGTATATGCATATTATATATCAGTGTCAGTCAATTTTGACGAGTGAGCAGATTAAGACCTTAGTGCCGTTTGACGGTTCTCGTATTTCTGGACATACTAATACGACACGAGTGAGGGAGTAGGCAAATTAAGATCCCGTACTCAAAGATAACCATATTTTTTATGATATTGGCTCCAAAATGACTGCCGAAACGTCTAAACGTTTAAAGTTTCATTGCGGTTCTTCCCGAGAACTTGGCAATTTTCATTATATAATATATATATAATATATATATATTATATATATATATATATATATATATATATATATATATATATATATATGTATATATATATATGTATATATATATATATATATATATTATATATATATATATATATATATATATAAGATAAAGACTTTTGTTGGAAAAATAGCTGAAAGGATATAGGCTATGTGTACTCTTTCTTCTTTAATTCCAATAATTATTGGTGGTCACGGGAATTCTACAATTTAGTTACATGATAAATCACAGTCTTTTAATATAATCATACTTATAATGCGAGTTATATAGTTACAATGTATGTATACAAAACATCCTTTTTCTAGGAATTTCATATTATGCAATTAACGTACAAGAAGACTACACCAACGATGGACCAACTGGAAACCCTCTAGGAAATATTCCTGTTAAAGACCTAAAAATTCATAATGTCTATGGAACAATGACAGGTTCAAATTCAGTTAAAGTTTACATTCTTTGTGGAAGTGGAGGCTGCTCGAATTGGAACTGGTCTGACATAAATGTCTCAGGAGCTGCTAAGTCAAATGCTTGTAATTTTACCCCCAATGGATTTAATTGTTAATAAATGTTTTTAAAGCTTTTTTTTTTATTAAAAATATTTTTATATGTTAATTGTTATTAATATTTTTTACCAATCCAAGATATCAAAGATATGTATACATAACTAAGAATACAATAAAATTAACTAATTAATTATTGGTATATTACCATTGTATTATTAAAATAAATTTGTATTATTAATTAATTATATTATTAATTAGATTGTTAAAGTATGCCAATATTAAACACATCAATTTACTTTTGATATCTTAATTGAAACAATTTATAGACATTCATTAATAATAGCATATTTCATAAAACTAGATAACTTAACTTACAGTATTAAGAAACAGAAGAAAAACTGTCACATTCTAACCTACATCTGTCAAATTTACCACTAAAATCTAATAGATAAAACGTAAAAAAACTCATTGTGCCCAAGACAGAGATGTAGTGCATTAAAGTCCTTCCCCCTTTTAAATTTAATTTTTGTTTCGTCCCTTCTAAGTGTTTTCTGTTTTAGTGTGTTTAAATTGTCCTTAATTGTTTTTATTCTAATATTTTAATTATTTGACTTTTCAATAATTTACTAATTGCCAATAAGTTTAGATGTAAAAATTGTGTGGGTGTGCAATTATTTTCCACTTGTAGTTATCAAATTACTTTGATAGATAACTACAAGTGGAAAATAATTGCACACCCACACAATTTTTACATCTAAACTTATTCATTGTCATAAAACTGTCACCTTCATAAAACAATCCACTCAATAAATAACACAAATTTCATAAATATATCTCTCGAATAAGTATAAATAATTTTTAATAATACAATGGTATATTACATGACTTTCATTTAACAAACAATCACACACATATCTCTTCTTCATTGGATCAAATCTATCTCCTCAAGAACTTCCCGTTTACTGTCAAACAACTGCAATAATAGAATTGAGTTCTCCATTCAACAATACATAGTAGTTTCAACCATGTTTTACCATCCATCAATTAATAGAGTACCGGCATGTAAGTAATGTTTATTTATTGATTTGCTCATTTATTAATTTATTACAATCTAATAGACTATTTTATAACAATTTGTGGGCCTTTCCTTGTCTGTTTAAACTTTTAAAACTTTTATACTTTTTATTCAACTTACTATTTTAAATACAACCACAGACATGTAATATTGGCATGATTATTGTAATTTACAACATCTACTTTGTTTTTCGTTATTACACAACACCCTAATATGGGTTTTTTATTATTTCAGCATTTGTTTAACTTTGTATCGAGACCTGAGGATGCTTTGCATATTGTCGAAAGCGAAACCGGTCGTCTGATAGTTAAATTAAATTGATTGTGAGTAAGTCTTATTTATTATTTCTTTACCTATTTGAAATGGACTCACACAAGCAACAAATTCATGATTAAGGACTTTCTTATACCTAAGACTACCACCTAAGTTCGTAGGAGATTGGGAATGTGTGGATATTATCGTCGGATGGTTCCTTCTTATTCTCCTTTTTTCTCCCCATATACAGATTTGCTTAAAAATAGGAAAAAAGGCCAAACTATTACATGGACTTCAGAAGCCGATGATACTTTCCGGCGGATAATAAAATCTCTTACTAGAGCTCCTGTCATCACGTCTCCGAATTTTAAAGATCATTTTTATCTCCTGACAAATTGTTCCAACACTGCTTCAGGTGGTGTTCTATTTCAGATAAAGGATGGTTCGGAACATCCAATAGCTTATACCAGCAAAAAGCTTGATAAAGCACAAAAAAATTATTTCACCACAGAAGGAGAACTTTTTGCAATTATTTATGCTCTTTGAAGTCTTTCGGTACTATCTTGAAGGTCGTAAGTTTACTATAATCATGGATAATAGTTCTTTATTATGTTTACATTCTATGAAAAATATATGACAGCGTTTGTCTCGGGCTTTCTGTATTTGATTATAATATTGTGCATCGCAAAGCTAACGGTGTTGTGATTGCAAACGCTTTGTTATGAACGTTCGATATCAATATTTTAGATCTGTTCACTTTATTTCCAGATAATTGATATCGAAGGATGATTCATAATGTCACCCAAGAACCTAGTAGATATCCTGATTTCAAGGTGGAAAATATTATTCTTTATAAACATTTTATCAGTTCTGTCGAATCTCTGTTGAATATGTCTGAATAGTAGTCCCAACACCTAATAGATATGAAGAATTGAAAACCTTTTATGATGATATGACATCAGGTCACTTTGGTTTTTACAAAACATCTAGTAAGATAGCTAAGCTATATTACTGGCCTGGTTGGTGCAACTCAGTTAAGAAATACATTTCGAGATGAAGAGTTTTTGCAACATGCAAGTCGAGTAAACTACCTTAAGCTGGATTAATGGGTTCATTTAGGAACATTAATTTTCCTTGGCAAATTATATCATTAGACCTTATTAGACCGTATACATGCAGTTATTTAGGTAATACGTACTGCTTGGTTATTTTTTGATTACTTCGCCAAATTTTTTTTGTTTGTCCTCTTCGAAAGGCTACAATTCCAGCCATTTTGAAATTATTAGAGAAACACTAGGGCACTCTTTTGTCCTTAAGGTGGGAAACTGCCTCTAAAAGGCGGATAAACAAAGAATGTCAACGGCATAAGAATACGGAAGGCAATGGAAAACCACCATATTAAAGGTCCTCAAGGATATCTCAAGAAAGACAAGGATGGAAAATACATTGCAAGTAACGGCCCCTAGTCCGTGGCAGACCTTAAGTGGCCAAGGGGTGCTAAGAATCTCCGCGAAGAAAAACAATGCTAGGAACCAGCCGAAAGTGGAAAAAACCCCAAAGCTAAAACTGGGTATTTGGAACGTTAAAAGTCTTTATACCGCCGGTAAACTAGACAACATAATAAAAGAAATGGAACGATGCGACCTCGACATCATAGGACTTAGCAAAATCAGATTGCCTAACAGTGGTAAATGTACTAAAGAAAATGCCACACTATAATACACAGCAAATAACCTACCCCATCATTATAACGGAGTTGGATTTTTAGTTAACACAGCCTCAAACAAATCAGTAAGGAATTTCGTGGCATACTCAGATAGGGCAGCACTACTACAAGTCCCAGCCGATCCTGTTGACCTTAACATTATACAAATCTATGCACCCACCTTGGACAAACCTGAAAATGAAGTAAAACAATTGTACAGAGAGATTAAAGTTAATGAAACTGAGCAAGAAAAACCAGACTTTTATAATCATGGGAGATTTCAATGCGAAGGTAGGGCGAGGACGTGTTGAAGATGTCGTGGGTGACTTTGGTTTGAGAGATCGAAACGAAAGAGGTGATATGCTAATCCAGCTCTGTGAAGAAGAAAAATTAGTCATTGCGAATACCTGGTACAAACTGCCACCTCGGAGACTCTACACCTGGCAGTCTCCACAACATACGCATGACAACACCGTAAGAAATAAAATTGATTTTTTATTGATTAATCAGAGATAAAAGAAATGGATTTCAAGGAGTAAAAAAGTACCCTGGAATAGATATCCAATCTGATTACAATCTCGTAGTAGGAAAATTGAAAATTTAGCTTAAGAAAAATAAAAAAAATCTATAAAGCAAATTGATATAAACAGCTTAAAACAACCTAACATTAAACTCAAAGTCACAGAAGGATTAAATGAGGCAATAGCATATATCACGACAAGATCTAAACAACCGACCAGTAACCACCACCAAGTCTCTGAATGCTTCCCAAAAGTACAAAAAGAAGAATTGGATAACTGACGAAATATGATCAATGATGAACGACCATAGATAATTTAAAAACAAAGACCGAACCAAATATCAGCAGATCAACCGACAAATACAAAAAGAGTGTCGCAAAGATAAAGAACAGTGGCTGCTAGACAGGTGTGCAGAAATGGAGGAATTGGAAGAAAAACATGACCCTTTAACATACATAAACTTATTAAAGAAGTGACAGGTCTTACAAAAAATTGCCGTTTGAACAGTATTGTGAAGGACAATAAATTAATTACTGATGCCAAAGATCTACTTCAACATTGGAGAAACTACACACAGCAACTATACGCAGATACAACTAGAAGAAACTCTGAAAGTGAGTATAAAAGTGAACCCTCCCCCAAAATATTGAAGTCAGAAGTTGTAAGGGCAATCAAACAGAGCAAATGGGGAAAAGCACCAGGCCCAGACGACATATACATAGAGGTTTTGACAATTTTGAGTGAAGACAATTTAGACACCTTGGCAGATCTTTTTAATGCCATTTATGGGTCCGGTCAAATACCACAGGACTGGCTTCAATCAACCTTTATACCAATCTCAAAAAGCCAAACGCTAACAGCTGCGACCAATTCTGAATGATCAGCTTATTGAGTCAGGTCCTAAAACTCTTCTTAAAGATAATTCACACAATAATATACAACAGATGTGAAAGAAACATTAGCCCCAGACAGTTCGGTTTCAGACAAGGATTTGGCACAAGAGAAGCACTTTATAGCTTAACTGTCCTACTTCAGACATTCAGAGATCAGCAAAAATATTTCTTCCTATGCTTTATAGATTACCAGAAAGCATTTGATTGTGTTAGTCATTCAGAATTAATAAGATTGCTCCAGGAACGTTCGATTGATGAGAATGACCTTATAATCATAAAGAACCTTTATATGAATCAAGTGGCATCTGTGAGAGTAGGACTGGAATCTACATTATGTTTCTCAAGCGAAAAAAATGTACGACAGGGTTGTGTTCTGTCACCCCTCCTTTTTAATCTTTACTCTGAAACGATTTTCGATAGAGCATTAAGTGACACTGAAGATGGAATCATAATCAACGGACAGGCTATTAGTAATCTTCGCTATGCTGATGATACAGTCATAACATCTGATAGTCAAAAAGCGCTACAACGACTAATAGATAGAATAAACACTGAAGGAGAACGAGTGGGCCAGAAGATTAATATAGACAAGACTAAGGTAATGGTGGTT